CTAAGTAAATAGGGCGAAATTCAGTAAGGATAAATGCAAAGTACTCCACTTAGGGAGGGACAGTCAGTTTCACACATACAAAAAGGGAAGTGACTGTCTAGGAAATACTACAGAAAGGGATCTAGGGATCATAATGAACCACAAGCTAAATGAATGAACAGTGTGACATTGTTGCCGAAAAAGCAAACATGATTCTGGGATGCATTAAAAGGAGTGCTATAAGCAAGACACCAGAAGTAATTCTTCTCTACTCTTCACTGATTAGGCCTCAACTGGAGTATTGTGTCCAGCTGTGGGCACCACATTTCAGTAATGATGTAGAGAAATTGGAGAAGGTCCAGAGAAGAGCAACAAAAATGATTAAAGGTCTAGAAAATATGACCTATGAGGGAAGACTGAAAGAATTGTGTTTGTTTAGTCTGCAAGAGAGAAGACTGAGGGGTGGACATAACAGTTTTCAAATACCTAAAAGGGTGTTACAAGGGGAGAAAAAATTTTCTCCTTGATCTGAGGATAGGACAAGAAGCAATGGGCTTCCAGTGCAGAAAGGGAGGCTTAGGTTGGGCATTACGAAAAATTTCGTAATGATCAGGGTGGTTAAATACTGGAATAAGTTGCCTAGGAGGGTTGTGGAATCTCCATCACTGGAGATTTTTAAGAGCAGGTTAGACGAACCTCTATCTGGGATAAGAATGTTAAAAGGCCGGTAATTCACTAATTGTGTAGTCAATACAATTTGTATTGACCACACAATTGGCTGATAAGGGAAGATGCTCTGTCCAGAAGCTACCCTTGCTGTAGCTCTGCAGTTTAAATGTAGTAGGAGCCGGGTGCACAGGCAGCCGGCCTCCTATTACATTTAAACTACAGAACAGTAGCTGGATTAGTCCTCGACCAGTGCAAGCCAGGACAGAATTGGGACTGCTGCAGCTTTGCATTTTAAATGTAGTAAGAGCTGCCTGGCTCTTTAAAATGCCGAGTCGCAGCAGTCCCGGACTGGTGCTCACTGGGACTGAGCTGGGCTTGCCAGTCTGGGCCACCGCAAACAGGGTCTGCTGCTGGAGCCCCACCCCTCCTCACTGCCTCTGATAGAGACAGCAGTGCAGGGGTGGAGGGGCAAGCAGCACAGTGGTGACAGTGCTGGGGGGAAATGGCTTTTAAGCTGGCTCCGCCCAGCACCTGCTCCTGTTTCCGTGCCCCCTGCTGTCTCTGATACAGAGGCAGAAAGGGGAGGCGGGGGGGAAATGAGTAGTCGACAACTCACTTACCTCCCTAGTCAGGGTTGATCCCATTCTAGATGGTGCTGGGTCCTGCCATGAGGGCAGGGGACTGGATTTGATGACCTCTCGAGGTCCCTTCCAGTTCTAGTTTTCTGTGATTCTATGATATTTTGGATCTGAGATTTCTCCCACTGACGTCAAAAGTAGTTCTGCAATTGACTTCAGTGTCTTTACCAAGCTCAGCTTATGGTATGCCAACTCCAACTACATAAGCTGGAGTTGATGTACCTTAAGCCGACCTTCTAGGTGTATTGTAGGCTTGGCCTTAGAAATCAGGATTCTTTTCCCAGTTCTGTCTGGTACAACCTGTGGATCCTTACTTACTAATTATGTAAAAGGAAAGGACTGATACTTGCCTTCCTTTGGAGGAAAGGGTATACCTTGCTTAACAACTCTGTATACTTCGCAATTCTTCTCATTAATGCCAGTCAGAAAAAGAGGTGAAACTTGAACCTAAGACGTTTTGAGTCCCAACCCAATGCACCCTCCTCTTTCAGCCAGCAGAGCATACATACTCGATCCATCCTAAAAAGATACATCTGGTTTGTGGGACTGCTTCTAAAAATCTGTGAGGGAGAGAGACCATGGCCAGATATTAGATTTTTTTTTTTTTAAGGTCAAACTCCTAATAAGTTCTGTGGCACATGCACAAATGGCAGCTTTCTGTGGCTCATGACTTGTCCATTTCTAGATTTTTTTTTTTTTTTTTTTTACAGGCACAAAAAAATCTCTCTCTCTCTGGTTCTACAAGCCTATCCCACTGCTACATCTCAGATTTTGAACAGAAACTTGAAATGCTGTGTTTTTTAAGTTAGAAAAATTGGTTAAGATTGGCAAAACTTGCTGTCTTTTTCCTAATGTTTTTCTCAAGATCGGCTGAAACGTTCCAAAGAAATTAAACCTGAAATAGAGACCAAACATGGAGGCTATGTCTACACTACAAGGTTTTTGCGCAAAAACCTGGGGAGTGTCCACACCTCAAATGAGCTCTTGCACAATTAAATGGGCAGTTAAATGGCAGAACAGAGGGCTTTTTCTGCTGTAGGTAAACCTCCTTTTCTGAGCATAACTGCTTTTAGCGCTACAGCTATAGCGCAAGAAGGCAAGTGTGGATGCTCCAGCGGAAAAAAGCCATTCTGGGAATGGCCATCAGAGCTTTTTTGCGCAAGAGCATCCAGCAGTGTGGACGCTCTCTTGCGCAAAAGCACATCGCTTTTGTGATGAGCTTTGAGGTGTGGATGTGCTCTTGCGCAAGAAGTATTTGCATAAAAACACTAACACAAAAGGCTTCTTGCGCAAGAAGCCTGTAGTTCAGACGTAGCTACAGTGTTTCTGTCCCAGTAGCTAAAGTTTGACAAATTTGTGAGTGATTGAACTTTGGTGTTAAAATGGGAAACGGTTGGCAACTTTAATAATAGGAGTCGCTATCACCAACTCCTAAAATGTAAAATGGATTTAATAGTAATTGCTTTGCTAATACTTGTGAGCTTGTGTTTGGAGCTCCTTTGGGAAAAGGTGCTGCATAAGAACAAACTATAATTATTTTCCTTCTCACTTAAGCATGCTGAACCAAATTACTTCCTAATGTGACTTTATTAACCTACGTCAGTGGTCACCGATCAATAGATCAGGATCTACTGGTAGATCTTGGAGCCTCTGACAGCTGATCCTAACTGGTTTGGCCACATAGCTATCAAGTGCCAGAGCTTCTGCTGCTGCTCCTCCCACTGCTGTGCATCTCCGGCCCTTTGCCTTGGAACTGTTCCCCCCAGAAGCCTCCTGCTTTCTGTGCAGGGCAAGGAAGAAAGAGGAGGGTGCTGATGTCAAGGTGCCCCCTTTTCCCACCCTGTGTCCTATCTCCACAGAGCAGAGAGGGGGCACAACAGGACTATGGATAGAGCAAGTTTGCTGGCTGCTTTTGGGAGTGGTGCAGAGCTAGGGCAGGGGTGAGCCTGCCTTAGCCCCACTGCACCGCCACCTAAGGTAAGCAGTGCTCATTGGAGTCCACATCCTGAACCCCTACCAAAGTCATGAACCCCCTCCTGCATCCCAACTGCCTGCCCCAAGCTCAGCTCAGAGCCCCTCTCATTTCAAATCCCTTAACCCATGACCAGAACCTGCACCCAAATCCTCTGCCCCAAACTGGTGAAAGTGAGTGAGAATGGGGGAGGGAGGGAGGATGGAGTGAACAGTGGCGAGGTGTCAGAGGCAGGGCAAAGAGCACAAAGGAGGCGGGGCAAGGATATGTGGGTTTGAGGTAGATCTTGGATTGCACTTAAATTCAAAAAGTGATCTTGTGCTTAAAAAGGTTAGAGACCCCTGACTTATGTGAAACTACATCCAGGTTGAATTTAGTCTCTTTGAATAATTACAAAAACACAAACACTGCAGCATTGCATGAGCTTCAGTGCTAGATTAAAATAAAAGATTTTATTTGTTCAATAGTTGACCCTTACAAAGGGTGGTCAGAGTGGGAAGAAATGGATTAATGCATTTTTCATCCTGTTTCTAAGAATTTTTTTGGAGGGGAGAACTGTAATTGCAAATATCAAAACCTTCTTAGGTATAAAGTAGTGTTGTTTTGTGATAAATAATTGTTTTAGTATTACTTGAATGAATCAAGATAACCATTTTGATGCTTGGATTTTCCATAATAGTGTGTGTCTCAAAAAAGTAATTTTATTGCTTGTTCGGTCGAATTAGGCATATGAATGTCAAACTGTATTTTAAAATGTGTGTCAGACTTCTGAAGTGAATAAACTTTCCCAGTTTAGCGTTCCCAATTCACCACTTTTGCATTTGGGATTTGAGATTCTTAGCAAAATACTTTAACCTTCCCCTTCTCCAAAATGGCAGGTTGTGTGTAGGAAGGGAAGAATCTCCAAGGTTCCTGATGAATTGATGCTGCATGGTGACTTGGATTGTATGTGCAGCAGATGAAGTCCAGCTGGAATCTGGAGCTGTTTCAATATCTACCCTGTTTAGATAAGCCTGTGTAAAAGAACTGTGTCAAAACAGCTCTCTTCTTCTTGTATTTCTCCTGGTTTTCCAGTAGGCCAGTCACTTGTCATAGAAAAGACCACGCTGTAAGGGGCCCAGCACTAAGCCAGCCAAGGGTTCCACTCCCTTTCCTCTTGGGGTATTCCTCTGTATCTTTTGTATGCATGGTAGATAGTAGCTCTGTAGCTGGTTAATTAAAGCTTGTGGATTTTTTTTCCCTTCTCAAAAGGGATGTTGGAATTAGTTCTTCTCCATTAAGCCCATCTGTTCATTGCTCAGGTTTACTGGAGGCACGCTGATTGTCCTGAGGAGAAGAGAATTTTCAGGAAGAAAACCTAAAAGGCCCTTGTTTGCCTTACTCACACAAGTAGTCTCCTAAATTAACAGACTTACCTTTGAAGCCTGGGATTTTAATATTGAAGGTTTTTTTTTAATGGTTCCACAATGAAGGTTGCATTTCACTTTCCACTTAAGCAGAATAATTGCAGAGAACTGGGGATTTGTAGGTACAGGGACCCAAGGGTGTAGGCTATTTCTGTGCCTTCAAAGCACAACAGTTACAGGTAAGTAATTTGTTCTTTTTGCCCTACCTCTTATTTCAACCATCACACAGGAGCTGGGGAAGTAATTACAAAGCCTGCATTTATCCTCTCTGCTTGTGCTGTGACAAGTCTAAAATGCTGAAGTCTGACCTATTTCTCCCTCTGCTGTCTATTACAGCCCTTCAAGGTTCCTGCTAGGTACTAAATTAATAGAGGAAACTGATACTAAAGTCATATCTTCTCCGAACAGCTGGTCGGAAGCCTGGTTGTCATTGCCTGCCTGGTGTAAAATGGCATTTGAGCTCAGCATTCAGTTCTTGTTGCTGTGGGCAATCACAGGTAGGAGTTTACGTCATGTGTTAATGTCTGAATCGAGCACCGCAAATGAAGCAAATGCTGGTGTGTGTTTTGTTTTTGTTTTTGTTTTTGTTTTTGTTTTTGTTTTTGTTTTGATAAAATAAGACTAGGTTGAGAAAAGGCAATTGTTATTGCTCATTGCTAAGAAGAGTTCTTGTGATGTAATAACTTCATAGCTGAAAGCAGAAAAGGGCTGTTAAATAGAGGCTATTCAAAACTGATTTCTGACCCATCCAGGTGGGGTTGGAGGAAAGGTTCCTAGAACTCTGCCCTGGTCCTAGCTGATCTATTCTGGGTCAGCCACAGTTAGGTACAAATGCTGTGGAGTACAAAGGGAATGGAGCATTATAAGAACATATCTAGGTGGGGGCAAAGCCATGTGCGCTGGGAGCAGGTCTCGAGTGCCTTTGAAAGGTATAACACTTTGAAGGATAAATACTTCAGGCATCTGAGCTAAGGCCTGATCAAGCCACTAGTATAAGAAAAATAAAAATGATTTTTTTTCAGGCACGTAGAATTTCTTTTCACAAAGACAATTTAGGGGAGAATTGGTAAAATTTCCCTAACTGCCACAGGTAACATTAACAAACAAATGAAAAATAGTGTAGATTCTCTGTACTACCTCTTTATCAAGAGTAGTTTTAATTCTAACATTGGCATTGTTAACCAAAACACTACAGAATGAAGGTTTAATGCACATATAAAATCTTTATTTTTGCCAGAAGGAGTTGTGGGTACAAAAATACTGGCAGAATCTATATTATTGGAATTCAATACATTTTAATAAAGAATTATTTGGACTCCATCAGTCTTTTGAGAAACAAGCAGTATTAGCTGTTAAATAAGAGAGAGTCTTTCTAATATGTCTAGTTCAAAAAATCCTGCTAAATTTGGAAGTGAGATGGCATTAAGTCCAGGGTATTTTGGTGGCAAGTTTAGAAACAGTGTTCTAGAGGATAATCCTGTCATACTGTATGTCTGCTGAGGGGAATTTGTGTCAGTTTTTGTACAGTAAATAGTGGATGCATGCGTCTTATATAGTCAGTTTTGTTCAAAGCTATATTTGAGGTCCTTTGATAAAGATCATTTTGGTGTGAACTCTTTGGGTTAGAGATGAATATTCTTATGAAAGATATTCTTATCGGTAAAGTAGGCAAATACAACTTAAGAAGAGGCCACTATAAAGTGGGTGCATAACTGGCTGGATAACCTTTCTCAGAGAGTAGTTATTAATGGTTCATAATCCTGATGGAAAGGCATAACAAGTGGGGTTCCACAGGGGTCTGTTCTGAGACCGGTTCTGTTCAATATCTTCATCAACGATTTAGATACTGGCATAGAGAGTATGCTTATTAAGTTTTCAGATGATTCAAAGCTGGAAGGGGTTCTAAAGGATAGGGTTTATAATTCAAAATGATGTCGACAAACTGAAGAAATAGTCTAAGTAAATAGGGCGAAATTCAGTAAGGATAAATGCAAAGTACTCCACTTAGGGAGGGACAGTCAGTTTCACACATACAAAAAGGGAAGTGACTGTCTAGGAAATACTACAGAAAGGGATCTAGGGATCATAATGAACCACAAGCTAAATGAATGAACAGTGTGACATTGTTGCCGAAAAAGCAAACATGATTCTGGGATGCATTAAAAGGAGTGCTATAAGCAAGACACCAGAAGTAATTCTTCTCTACTCTTCGCTGATTAGGCCTCAACTGGAGTATTGTGTCCAGCTGTGGGCACCATACTTCAGTAATGATGTAGAGAAATTGGAGAAGGTCCAGAGAAAAGCAACAAGAATGATTAAAGGTCTAGGGAACATGACCTGTGAAGGAAGACGGAAAGAATTTGGCTTGTTTAGTTTGGAAAGACTGAGGGGGGACATGATAGTGGTTTTCAGGTATCTAAAAGGGTGTCACAAGGAGGGAGAAAAATTGTTCTCCTTAGCCTCTGAGGATAGGACAAGATGCAATGAGCTTAAACTGCAGCAAGAGAGGTTTAGGTTGGACATTAGGAAAAACTTCCTAACTGTCAGGGTGGTTAAACACTGAAATAAGTTGCCTAGGGAGGTTGTAGAATCTCCATCTCTGGAGATATTTAAGAGCATGTTAGATAGACATCGATCAGGGATGGTCTAGAGACAGTACTGGGTCCTGCCATGAGGGCAGAGGACTGGACTCGATGACCTCTCGAGGTCCGTTCCAGTCCTAGTGTTCTATAATTCTGTGTGTTGCTGGAATAGTTGCTACACTTCGAAGGCGGAGGCGCCCTTATCGACTAATTGAATATTGAATGCAAATTGCTTCGACTATTTGATTAGCCAGTTAATCTAAATTTAACATCCCTATCACATACAAGAATGATACATGGACAAAAATAGGATATACAGATTCAGGGAGTTTGTAACTGTAAAACTGATATGTTACATGACCTGTTTTGCATAAAGCATCTGAGTTATGCATATTCATTTTCATAAGCCAATTTTCATAAAGCATGGGGGGGATCTGTGACAGTATGTATGAGTCTTCTATAATGTAGTGTATTGCCACTGATAAATCCATTAACTGCTAAAATCATTTTGTGTTGAATGTGATCTAAATTACAATGGTCAGAATGACTATCAGTAGTGATGGAACTAATGTATTCAAAAATTGATTTTTATATGTATTTATATCTCCTATAAAAATAATATGCCGGTCCAGTTGAACTAAAGTGGGGGGTGTACAGCACTCTCTCATCAATATAGGCAGCATGCATTGGTTACCATAGACACAACTGTTTAGTTGGCAGTGCTATACACTGGATTAAATTCAGTATGGCAGGCTTACAGAGATGAATTCCAACCTGGTATCACAGTGATCTTACAAAATTATTTTATTGCAATACATTTCTATTCCTGTAATAAAGCTCAGCATGCCATCATGCCTGGCTCATAATATTCAGCTACTGCATATTCATGCTGTGGTACTTCATGCTGAGAATAGCCTTTATAACAAAACACAAAGACAGTTTAGTGTATAGTTACAATTACAGGTGATGTAGAACTCCCATCTTTGTGCTCTGTGCTAAGCAGCCCTGCAGGCATAAAACAACCTCCCAGTGCCATTTACGAAGGTGCCAGTCCTGTTTCCCTGTTTAGTAACACACTTCTGCTGAGATTCCCATTATCTTTGATTTCTCAGCACACTGTTGCCAAGTTTGTGGTAAAAAATCATGAGTTAATCCTTCCAACTCACTGTTATCCTAAAAATCTGATTTATTTTTCTTTGCTTTCTGATTTTTGACTCTTCAGTGTTCATGTTTTTTAAAACTTCTCTTGACAACCACAGAGGCTAGAAACTTTGCTTTAAATGGAAGCCAGGATTTTAATGGAAACACATGACTCCAGGTGCTGGGGCTTTACAAAAAATTCCAAATATGCTGATAGTCACAATAACATCCTGAGAGTTAGCAACACTGTAAACCAAAGGTGTCATTTTCTTCTGATCAATTATTTTGTAAATATGGCACTTTCCTCTGGAAATGTAGCTCTTCTCTTTGTGTGAGTGCGCACGCACGCGCAAAGTCATAGCCGCTGACTCTAGTGACTAAAGTACATTTTTATAGCCGTTAACATTGTGAAGTCAACATAGCTTATTGAGAGGGCTTGGGAGTCTACTACTTGGGGAGATCATCAACAGAATTGTTTACTGAGATCTGATCAGATACAGCTGTGCAAGCCTACTGATTGCAGTGAGATTTCACTGAGGGCATAATTTAAAAATAGTGGGATTGTCCAGCACAGCAGAAGGTATAATTTGACCTGAATAACTCTTACTTGTTGCTGATGATTCCTAGAGAGGACCCAGCTTGACTTTCAGGGTCTAGATAAGGGGTGGGCAATAATTTTTGGTGTGTGGGGGGCACTCTAATTCTTTGGTACATGGTCAAGGGCCGCACTTTTTTGTGGAGGGGATGCGGGGTGTAGGTTGGAGGTTGAGTGCAGAAGGGTGCATGGGGTAAAGTACAGGGGTGCAGGAGACAATGTGGGGTCTGAGAGGCAGTTTAGGTGGAGGAGGGTATTGTGACCTGGGGCAGGGGATTGGGGTGTAGGGTCAGGGAGGGGGGCTGGGTGCAAGAGAGGATTCTGGCCTGGGGGAAGGGTGTAGGAGAGGGTACAGAGTCTGGGAGATAGTTGTGACCTGAGGCAGGGGGTGAAGACAGTTTGGATGGTGATCTGGGGGAGGGAGTTGAGATGCAGGAGGGGTTGGGGTGTAAAAAGCCAGCACTGGATTGGAGTTTAAGTGTCTCCTAGTCAGCAGGCTGCAGCACCACCAAGGCAGGCTGGGCTCCCTGCCTGCTGCAGCCCCAGCCCACTTGAAAATACAGGCTGCTCCCTCCACATGGCTCTCAACTCTGGGTGGGGGAAGAGGCTCGCGCAGCCTCAGTCTTCCAGGCCAATCTCTCAGCTCCGATTGGTTGGCTGTTTCTAGCCAATATAAGCTGAGAGATTGGCTGAGGTCAGTTCTTATTGGCCAGTTGTTTCTGGCCAATAGGAGCTGAGGATTGGATAGGGGGTGGGAAGATTGCACCAAGCCTCCCCCTCTCTGCAGAGCAGAGAGTCACAGGGACTGTGTTTTAAATTGCGCCAGCTGCGTGTGCCTGAAGGTCCTGGCAGGATGGTCCATTGGCTGGATCTGGTGACTTGAAAGTGGCTGGATCTGGATCTGGCCCGGACTGTATTTTGCTCAGCCCTGCTCTAGTTCAAGGGTGGGCAAAATCAGGACTGAGGGCTGAACCCAGCCCATCAGACATTTTTCTTTGGCCTGCCCACCTGATTAGCAGAGGTGCATGCTTACAGCTGGCAGCATGTGTTCAGCTGCTACTCCCCTCCACCTTGCTCCATCCTGCAGACCAGCTGTTCCCAGGATTCTCTGGCTAGTTGTGCAGAGGAGAGGGGAGTGCTAAAGTCAGAGTGTCCCCCTGCTCTTGTATCTCTTCTCTGC